GAGAGAGAGAGAGAGAGAGAGAGAGAGAGAGAGAGAGAGAGAGAGAGAGAGAGAGAGAGAGAGAGAGAGAGAGAGAGCTGTGTGATCTAGGAACTGGAACTTGAGCAATTTGGTGTTATGGTGATAATAATTCTGGAGTTTGACTCCCGTGTATCTCGTTGCTATGCTGTCGTGAGTGTTGTATGAACTTCCGGTGACATGGATGTATGTGATTGGAGTCTGAAATTGAGTCGGATCATTGCAGTCTCATCTAATGATATCAATCAGCATATAAGAATGTCCTCCTTCTCCTTCTCAAGCTTTTTTTCCTGCTCCTCCTCCTTCCCCTCCCCCTCCTACTCCTGCTGTTGTTGAAACAGTTGCCTTCACAGCCCCCTGCTTTTATGAAAACATGTGATTGAATGACCATTAGCTGTATAATGATATTGGCTCCAACTGTCTGGCAGGGACTGGCAAAGGAAGCTTTTATTACTGCAGAGGGCATTTTCCGAGCAGGCTGGTGCGAGTATGGGTAAGTCGTGGTGGAGCTAGCACCTCACAGAATACAACAGTGAAACAGCCATTTCATCAAAACATCAAACTATCAAAATATCACAGTCATTTAAAAATGAAAGAAACAACGGCGGACGCGCCAGGTTTCGAGTTCTCAAAGGCAAAAAAAACATGCACCGGTGAAGAAAACAGGTGCGGACTTAAAGACGGCAATTGGGTTAGAAAAGTATCCGTTGGGCTTTTTTTGTTTTTTGTTTTCTCCTTTCCCGATCTGACACCACAGCCGACCCCTGTAAATATGACACCCAGCCTGACACCACGGTCATTGGTACTTTCATCGCCCCTGGTTTCCTTGCTGGCGTGTGTTTTTTTCAAACTTGGCGCCTGGTTTCTTTGCCGGCGCAGCTTTTTTTTGCTTATCCGATTCTCAAAAGTGACATGAACGTAAGGCCGTTTCAAAAAAAAAAAAAAAGATAAGGCTGTTTAAATTTCAGATCTACTCATCTGGGTGGAAAAGGGGTTGTTATGCTTTGACAGTCTAAAGCACATACACGGGGATAGTCCATGCAGTGCGAAGACGCATACTCCCCTTGATAGCTCGCTTGAAACATTGGCAAGACATCGCATGTTGCTAGCATGCCAGCAGGAACACAGACTCATGCACACAGTTATTCAGGCATGGCATTTCGAGATCACAATGGCATATCAGGCAACTGATAAGCAGGTAGGGGGGATGAATGCAAGACGTAGATGGATCAAACTTCCCAGGGCAGAGGCTGGCAGTGTCCATAGCTGCAAAGTGACCCAAGCAGACCTTGTGCCGCATACATGCTAGCTGAACTTTGCTTGTAACTGTGCTTGCATGCTCGCGAATAGCATGGCACAGCAACGGTCCCCTGCAGGGTCCCCTCTCCATCAGTCGCTGAGAATCCATCTGGTCTGCACAGGCAGGTGCCGCAGCCTGGCCAGGTAGAGGGGACAGAGGAGGGTCTGCCTGATTGTCCCCCAGAAGCAATAGAGCTTCACCTCCTCATGGTTGCAATTTGCCACATCCTCTCCATTCATGCCCCACATGCGATGCTCGCCTTCCTCCGGCTGTACCAATAATTGAACCTTCTCCGTCCTTGCCCGGACGAGGATCAGACACAACTGCCTGAGCTAGAGCACAGGCTCTTCAAGTTGCATGAAGCACCTGCAGTGCGCCATGGTGAACGATTACCACTCCCAGGCAAAGTAGTCACAGAACAAATTTTGCAGCATCTAATCGCCGTTACTTTGGATCCAGCCCTCATATCTCCTGTCCACATGCAGGCAATGTGGGCTGCCGAATACCCAAAAAACTGGTTGATGCCGCACTGTGATGTGTTCCTGGAATGTGGGCTCAATGTGGCCTGTGACATGTCTATGTCGTGCCATTCATCACAGTGACTGCGAATATGTTTTAAGCCAGTGTGATGAAGCGCTTTTGTTCCTTCCCAGGTACTGGTTCGAAACTCGTGTTCTCCTTGATGCATCTGGACGAGATTGTGGCGAGAACCGGTCCTCACAGTACTTGCATGAGTATGTTCTAATCCAACGTTGGACTCCTCTCAATGCACCTGGTCTTCCTTTGCAGGTACTGGTTCCACGCTACCGTCTTCACCCGAATAGAACGCCTGGTCGTTATCACTGTATCTAGACTCAAAGTTGCACCAAATACAGCTATAATCACCGGGCGTTCTATTCGGGTGAAGACGGTAGTGCTTTCCTTTTATGTATCCAGCACTGGCAGCACGTATTGTGGCCAGAACCGGTCCACAGAGTACTTGTTGTGACTATAACTGCCTTTTACTAGCTACTAGTTAAAATTGAAATATTTTGCTGGTGTGACCAAATTGAGTGTTTTTTTTTTCCTTGAGCGATTTGGGCCAGATTTTGAAGTTTCCGCAAATGATGGTGTGTATGTCCATGGGCGTMATRCAGTTAGAGGTACGGCGGCGTTACATGCTCTCAATTGAGTSTTTTGGATGTATGTGGTCGCTTTTACGACCAGATTAGCGTATGCTCATTGGAGTCACRTGAGGTCTCACGGGGCAAAAAACTGTGCCAAGACATGGTCAGTTGAGTCATCGGAGGATTATCAAATCACAGCACCCTTCCAAGCTCTTTTTTTTTTTTTTTTAATAGGTCCCAAATAATCCCTCGTCCAATGTCTCAATCCCAATGTGGAGTCTGGATCCAAATGTCGTCAAGTCCCAAAGTCACCACTCTCTCTCTCTCTCTCTCTCTCTCTCTCTCTCTCTCTCTCTCTCTCTCTCTCTCT